TTCATTGTTAACAACTTCATCAGCAAAATGAACACGAATCTTTTCGTTACGTCGGGAACCCGTGATTAAACAACCACGTTGAGGAAGATCAGATTTAATTATAATATTTGATTTGTTTTTCGTATTCCTGGGACCACCGTCTGTTAGTATTTTTGTACCCTATAAACATTAATTAATAATTAAAAAATAAATTACATATCGATATGTACGTACACAAATTATGTGTAATTATGACATACGACATACCTGTTTGTTTCCACCAAGAAATGCAATTAATTCGTCTCGATTGGTTAATGCAAGATATTGTAAATAAAATTCGAGATGAAAACGTCTATATTCGATAAAATCAGGATTGAATCTTCCTACATAATGATAAACGGAATATTCACATGAAATTCTAATATTTATTACTGATTAAACGATATATATGTATAGTAATATGTTTACGTAATTGTACCATATCGTTTCTTTGGGGTTAGTGGTGGAATAGCAGAATTTCCATATTTATGAACAAGTTTCTTATGCAATTTATAAAAGTCAGTATATCTTCTATTGATGAACAATTTTCCGACTTGACCATGCATCCAATACTTTATATGATTTTTACATAATATTTTTTTTAGAACATTTTATGATGATAACGATAATGATAAACAGGTATCATAATTAAAATAATGATATAAAAAATTATGACATAAATATGACATAATGATGAAATACTCACACGACATACTATTTGATAAGAGACGTATTTATCAAGACCAAGTAATGCATCAACTAAAGTCCAGCCGGGAATTGAAACCTTGATTGATAAAAATTTTAATTAGCTAAAAAATAAAAAAAAGGAAATATTTAAAAAAAAATACGCTACTTTGCACTTAAAATCGAGCAACAAAGAGCCTGTGTTGTTAAGCAGAAAAAAATAGCGACTTAAAAAGAATATCTTTAAGTATATAAAGCTATAAAATTAGAAAGCATCTTAAATAATGACATAAACATACTATAATGTGTACTCCTTCTGTCGTCAAAGACGAATGTAGAATAACTGCCGCCACCAAAAGAAGAGTTTTGTATTTTGCACAAAGAAGACATACTAATTAAAAAGTGTGCTAGGATAAGCTTAATGACAGATAAAATATAATTAGATTATTATAATTTAGTTCGAAAGAAGAAAAAGAACGATGCTTGGAAATTAATTATTTATTAAAAAATAATAAAAAAATAATAAAAATTGGAACTAAAAAAAAAAGAGAAGCGAAAAGTACGTACTTAGATGAGCTAGTATTTTATCTGTTATATACACTGGAATGCGCCACTTTCTGCAAGCCACAATATCCCTTCGTCTCATACCGATACATACCGATACATATTTATCTCTAGTTTAAAATGTTAGCAGTTAGCGTTAGAATGAAAATCTAGTATCGGTATAAGATGTAAATATGCACGCATGTGGCTTTATTTGTCCTGATTATTTTTTTTATCACGAATTTCCTGCTTAATCGGTAATGAAAGTCCTTGTTATGGCCAGTTGATCGTCACTTTAGCTCACTTGATCACCCATTTTTCGAAAACATATTTCGAATTTTACACAACAGACAATGTATCATTATTAAAAAGTAATTTGGCGAGAATTACGCAATTCGATTAGTGTTTATAATTGCTTTTTTTCCGAAACGAGCTTAATTATAAAATAACCGAAATATTGCATGCGTACGTGCGTACGTATGTACAGTACATAACAGATAAGGTTTTACAATCTAAGTGCACACTCTCATATAAGTGCACTACTTTTGGGGTCGGCTAAAGCGGGGTTAATTCAATATATGATCTACATATTACATAAATCGTATTCTTGATATTTATATATAAATAATAACATAAATGCATCAAAAAAGTAACTCTAACCCTAACTCCGCTTTAGCCTTCCCTGCTTTTGGGAGGTTTGACTGTATCATGTGACAAATGATTTTATGACCGAATTATACATTAAACTTGTGAAAAATTCGCACTTATTAGTTATTGTATCGGATACGTAAGTATAATGTCATTAAAAATTTTGAAGGCATATAATATAAAATCAATTACATATTTTAAATAGAAAACGTTAATAATTAATTTGACACTAGTTTAATTATAATGACAGTTTATTATATTCACATGAATCTTTAAGAATTCACAATGATCAATTTATAATCAATCTAATCATCTAGTCTTTTTTTAACATTTGATAATCATACAATCTAAGTAAATTTCTTTCAAGCATTGCGATTGTAACCTTGCCAATTGTTGGTACATAAATGCTGGCTTTTTCTTTAACATTATCTTCGAAATTTTTGTACGCTGAAAAATTTATTGCAACTACTCCATCCCGTAATAAGGATGTTGGAAGTTTATATGTTGGTGATGGAACACCTGTTATTACAACATCGGATATTGGAATGATATCTTCAAGTTTGAGATTCGTTTCAATAACCTTTATTAAATATAAATTTATTTATTTAGATATTTATGGATAGCATGAAAAGTTAGTTGGAATAAGTTAGCACTATATGGGAAATTATTTTTGAAGCCGGACCAATTTTGTAATTTTACATAGTAAAGTTATATTACATAATTTGGTCTGATTTCAAAATTTATTAAACATATAGTAAATCCCAACTACTCCTCTATTTTTAACAACATAGTGTCGCCATTGGATTATGTAATTTGGACATAAGTCAATGCCAACACCAAATTTACTATTATTTACCTCATGCTTTTTAAGTCTCAATCCAGTACCACGATTAAATTCTTGAATGCCATTAATATCAACGGAATAAACTTTTCCACCATCATTTGCTAATAAAGCAGCAAGAGGTCGTCCAACAATTTCACTTCTGTTTACTATGGTGATTATGCGGCCATGCAAACGATTCCCATATGTGATAATTGGATTATATACGCGAATATATTCCATTACCTATTATTAATATAATTATATAATTAACAAGATTATTAATAAAATGGTAAGTTTGTAACTTCTTTGCTATATTGCCATGATAGTTTTAGACTCTTACTTTGATTATAGCTAAAGGTGTGCAAGGGATGATACATTTTTTGGTCTGCGCCTTGTCAAGAAATCGAATATTGTGGTACATATTATATATATACTTGTGACATAACCCTTCGACATCTTTGGAAGAGTCAACAACATTTTGAAGATATTGATCCTATAAATTAATTAATAATAAAATATTATTTGTTTTTCTGACAATTTTTATCCAATATTAAAAATGTCTTACTTGACGATCTCCAAAAACGGGATAATAAACCATTATACCATTTATATTTTCATCCTCATTAGCTTTCACGATTTCATCTTCTAAATCTTCTCTATTACACTTTTTTAATTCAAATACAACTCCTGTCTCCGCACAAGTCTTTGCTGTAGCTTCCGCATACTTAAAAGCCGCTGGATCTTGATTAGCAAGGAATCCAACAAGTTTCGGGTGAATTCCTTTTGTATTTATTGTAGTTTTTATTTCTTCTCTAAAAGGTTTTAACACCAAACGTTGTAGTAAACAAGAGGGGAAAGATCGTTTCATCCACCTGTATCATTTTTTTTTTTTTTGTTTTTTGTTTTTTTTTTGCTCAATGCTTGCCTTTAACTTTTCACGAAAAAGGTGGTGGCATTGCTGCTATGGGATTAATTTAAACCCGAGAAAATAAAATTTTGAAAAAATCTATTTTACCTATATCCAGCAGAAATTTCTCCAGCAAATACTGTTTTACATGACATTTTCTTGTCTAAATAATTTATTGATAGATTTATTGGCTTTTAAATTAATCAACATTAGTATACAAAAAAAAAAAAAATCAAAATTACCTTTAGTATTTTTATCTTTAAATTTTGTACAAAAGTGAAAAGGAAAAAGTTTCTCGATGGCTTACCAGTTATCGATAATCTTATCGTTATTTAAATTATCCAATCTATAATGATATTATCCAATCACATTTATATAAAAATTTGGCTTAAAAAAAAGCCATTGTGCAAAATTTAAATTTCTGCCCGTACAATAATATGTTTCACAATTTATCGCAAACTAAAACTTTTTTGCGAGCTTCAAAGCATGGTCATTACGGACTTTTAAAAGTTTTTACTGTATGATACTTTTAATGTTCATGTTAATATTAAAAAAAATTTAATGAATTTTTTTTTTAAACGTCCACTATTATATTCGGTTTCAGCGAGGATATGTCTCTGCACAAGTTCAAAAAGAGGTAAATTATTTTATACATGTATATCTATATATATTTTTTAATATATAAAATAAGATTTTACTTTTGTTTTCTTGTTCATAAAAATAGTACTTGAATAAGTACTTGAAGGATACTGACCCGGAAGTTTTGGATATTATAGAACAGGAGAAAAGGCGACAACGCGAAAGCATCGTTCTTATTCCTTCAGAGGTAATTTGGAAATATATTTCCTTTTAAAAAAAAATTGTCATTAAAAAGTTTAATATAATATCAAAATGTAATTAACGTAATTGCAAATTTTATGACGTATAAAGAACTTTACGTCACGTGCAGTCATGGAGGCTCTTGGATCAATTATGCAGAATAAATACTCAGAAGGATATCCTGGTGCAAGGTAAATAATCTACTTTTCCAACAATAAATTAATATTTACATATAAAGTTATATACATAACTTGTAAATTTAATATAAATAGATATTATGGTGGAAATCAATTTATTGATCAAGCAGAATATTTATGCCAAAAAAGAGCTTTAGAAGCATTTGATTTAGATAATTCTAAATGGGGTGTAAATGTTCAGTCATTATCTGGTATGTATTCCCTATAAATTTTATAAATTCTTTAGTATATATGTGTTGTGTGTCAAATCAAAATTTAAGTAGAAAGGGTAAAAGGTAGGTATTAGTGATATAATTATTTTAACCCGATCACTATATAAATATCACGGTGAATTAATCAATAATACCCTGGTCCCAGGGTTGTCAATGGAGTTCAATGGAGCTCAATGGACTAGTATCTATTGGGTCCATTCAAAGTTCTATTGCTCCATTCTGAGCTCTATTGAGCTCAATTGCCAACTCTGAGCCTGGTCTGTATGTGTGCAAGCGAAACTAAGTTTCCGCTAGTATTACGCATATGTAAAATTGTTACGGCTTAGTTGGAAATTGGACCTATTTTAATATGAGAGCCTTTTGTGGTGCATTTTTCTTATAGTATATTATTAGGTTAAAAACTATTAATAAAATTGTATAAATGGATTCACATTGAAATTTTAATTTCCAACTTCAGCCGCAACATTGATTTACGCAAAACACACACATATATATGATATGTATATTTACAATTTAAAGTTGTATATGTTTACAATTTAAAGTTGTCTACAAGTTTACAATTTAATTCCCCTAATTTTGTCATTTAGGGGCTCCGGCTAATTTATATGTTTATAACGCGATATTAAAACCCCATGGAAGGTTGATGGGTTTAGATTTACCACATGGTGGGCAGTATGTATTGTTTAAATCATTTTTTACACGCATATATATATGGGGTGAAGTCAACAGAATCCAGGCAAATTGTTTTTATTAAAATTTTTCTTGAACTTTAAACTTGAATATCTCAACAAAAAC